GGGGAAGGGGCGAAGATCAGTAAGGAGTGGGTTCTGTCTTGAACTGTCTGAACAGTCAAGGAAATAATTGCAAGAGAGGTGAAGGGTACACTGACAGAGTCAGAGACAAGACTGGATTCCCGGATCTGGAGTTTCACTCCTGCTGTTCACTCCCATTCACCTAGAACATTGCAACAACACCTCACGGTCAGTGTCACCAAACACTCGCTCCCATGTCCCTTCCTTCACCAACACCTTTTCTTTTTTTCTTTTTTTCTGTTTTTTTGTCAATGGAAGAGAAATGTGGTTTTCTCATTCAGGCTCAAAACGGAATCTCTGACCCAGCTTACTCCCTCCCCAGTGTGATGATGTCTTTGGGGCTCCTCCAGGTTGGAAGGCCACTCACAAGTCCTCCAGTCTGACCCCGGCCAGATGGCACCTGCAGTGGTCAATTCTGGCCCTCATGGACTCTTCCCCTGACAGAAACCCACTGCCCACCCTACTTACAGTGTGCAGATGTCTCCTGTAAACAAGTGTGTCAGTGCACACAAGGTCGACTAGCATCTTAGAGAAGAGGGAAGGAGCACCTGCCTCGCTGACATACAGCCATCCATCCATGGCCCTGAAAATCACACTGGCTCTTGGGCAGTCACATCACAGCAACTCACAGTGAGCACAGACTTCATTAATTGGCAGGTTTGGCTCAGACCTCGTGGTGTCACGCTCCTACTTCATTTCATAGCTAGTCTGAATTCCTCTTTCTGGTTGATTCCCCACAGCTTCGGCCCTGCCTTACCACTCTGCCTGTCACCTCCCCAGTGTGAGCCCTGCACTCCAACCAGGCCTCCCTTCTCTCCAACACACCACAGTCCTCCCAGCTGCCATGGGCATACATCTGCCCTCAGCCTGTCCCAAGCACCCTCCCCTCTGCCCAGGTCTGCAGCTCCACAAGAGGCTTCCCCACTCACCAAGCACGCCCCCCTCAGATCCTCTGCAGAACAGACAGTGGCTTCCATATGTCTTAAACATCTTTTTTTTTTCTTGAAAAAGCAATCTTTTTATTGAACATACCTAGGTTTGGAGTGATTATCTTATACATCTTATATTATGAAATAATATTCTGAGTGATAATTATATATATATTTGTATATTTATATTCATCATATATTCTTCTATGACCATAACTAAGAGGGTTATAAGTCATCTCCAGATGTGGATTAAGGTCATGAAAATGTCACCCAAAAATTGATACTTGCCTGCCATATCCCCGTCTAAGAAATTACAAATAAGTTACAAAAGAAAACATGTAGATACTAAAGTTCATTACATCAAAGAAAATCAAAGGAAAATAGTCAAGATACATGCATTATAAGAAAATTATAACCCAATTAGGCATACTTTGATGACGTGAGAAGTAAAAATGTGTTAAATAAGATCTATGCTCTGCGTGAAGTTTAGGAAACATAAAGTCAACAACCAAGAACCAGCACTTCTTTGGGAAGTGATCCTGTCTCTAGGTGGCAGGGGAGATATGATACAGAGCAGGGCAGTTTACCAGGCTACCACTGCCTCATGGGAAGACCCCATAAGCATCCAACCTTTTCTGATCCTAACTTCAGGGCACCCGGAGGCAGAACGTGGGAGTGGGTTGTTCTCCTAAGAGGACCTTCACACCGAGTGCCCCTTGGGCCATGCGCATCTCCAACTGAAAATAATTACATAGGAGTTGTGGCCTGTGATCCAACCTGTTCCAGGTTTCGTGACTTCACATTGTTTCTGGGCCTGCAGAGCTAAGGGAAGACGTTGTGCTCCGGAGATTCACTTCACTGGGGATGCCTGTAACCCCCGGCTGGATGCAGCGGGGCCTCCAAATTTGACAGGCCCCTTTCCCTCTGCCAGCATGTGGCACAGCTCCACGTGGTGGTGCCATTTTTTCTGGGGGTCAGCACAATGCCCTGTTCTCCTCCAGAGCCTCCACCCTGTCAGGCACACAGGCACCTGACTGATCGTGAGAGATCTTGGGACTACTCTTCCTGGTACTCCCACCCACCAGACTCTCCTAGTATTGTAAATTAATCCACTCAACAAATACTTCTTGAATTTATTCATTCATTCAACAAACACTTGCTGTGTGAGCTGCCCAGTGACCTCCTTCCAAGGAGGACAGTACAGAAAGGGGGGAAAGAGCAACCTCACAGTGGCAAAACCTGACAAACGCCACGCCAGCCAGATGATCAAGCTTACCATCAAGAGCAATAAGTCATGTTGATTATAATGTGTGCCTTTGACATGATGTAATGAAAATGGCATTTCAGCTCTCTAGTCTTCCTCCCCAAAACACACAACCACATCTGATCATGAGAAAAACACCAGACAAGCCACAATTGAGGAACATTCTACTAAATAGCTGACTAGTACTCCTCAAGATTATCAACATTGCCCAAAACAAGGAGAGTCTGCAAAACTGTCCCAGCCCAGAGGAGCCTTAGGCATGAGGACAAAATGTAACTTGGGATCCTAGATACAAATCCTAGAACAGAAAAAGGACATTAGCTAAGTTCAGACCTTAGTGAATAGTAATGTATTAATATTAGTCCATTAATTGTAACAAAGCTCTCTGTACTATCTTTGCAATTTTTCTGTAAATCTTAAACTGTTCTAAAATTAAAAGTTCATTATAAAAAATAAATGGGGCAAAACCAAAGCTAAGCCTTTCACTTCACCCACTAGGAGGTCAACATGGAGCGCTAGAGAGCCCTCAGAGGGCTAGAGAGCCCCTGTAGAGCAGGAGCCAGGGTTCAGGCTGGACTCTATGCTTCCGGGGCCGGAAGCCAGGAAGAGTGAGGATCCTCAGGCACACTTAGTGCGATGGCTATTTCGTGGTGAGGTGATTGCTGGGGCTCTTCCCAGTTTCACAAAAGTGCGGCCCATTATAAAATACACCTCATCTCCCAGAAACATCCTGACCTCATCACAGCAAAATCTACATGGAACAGAGAAATGCCATAGTCAGGAAGCAACCTACATTTTGCTCATTGTAAGAGCTCAATATTTGTTGGGCTAATATTTGTAAATCACTTTCCCATATTAAAACATCCATAACATTTCTCCAAAGATGTACAAATGACCAACAAGCACATGAAAAGATGCTTAAGGTCATTAGACATCAGGAAAAGACAAATCAAAACCACAATGAGATATAATTTTACACCTACTAGGATGGCTGCAAATTTAAAATGGAAAAATAACAAGTGTTGGGGAGAATGTAGGGAAATTCGAACACTCATGCCCTGCTGGTGGGATCGTGAAATGGCACCACCGCCGTGGAAACCTGTTTGCTGGTTTCGCAATGAGCTAAACAGAATCATCAGGTACTCATGCAGTTTCCCTCTGCTTTTGGTTCATATCCAAAAGAACTGAAAACAAGTGTTCAAACAAAAACTTGCGTGTGAATGTTCATAGCAGCACTATTCACTATAACTGGAAGTGGGTATAAGGTAGAAACAACCACAGTGTCTGTCAGCAGATGACTGGAAAAACAGAATGTGTCCTGTACAGACCACATGTTGTCCAGCCATTAAAAGGTATGAGATACTGATGGATGATACAACATGGTGGACTTGAAAACATGAATGATGAAATGAAGAAGCCAGACATAAAAGGCTACATATTATATGACCCATTTTATGTGAAATATCCAGAATAGGCAAATCCATAGAGAGAAAGATGAGCAGCTAATCAGGGAGGGGGCTGGGGAGTAACTGCTTAGAGCACAAGGTGTCCTTTCAGGGTAATGAAAGTATGACTGTGCCAAATGCCTCTGTACATTGTACAGTTTTAAATGGTTAAAATGGTGAGTTTGTGGTGTATGTATGGTACCATAATTAAAAAGCAAAAAGGACAGCCATAACTAACATGTTTCCAAGCATGGGTCTCAGACCACCTCTGTCAGCAATGCTCAGAATACTTGATAAAAATTAAAGTTCCTGGGCTCACCCAAAACCACAAAATTAGATTCCCAGCAACCTGAATAGTACTGTATTACCCCTTCAACAGCATTGAACATAACCTTTGCGCACAGATTTGAAAATCAAATTGGAAAACTCTTGAGACAGGATTTGTGTCCTTTATATCACCAGCCTGACATAGACCTGCTCAAAATAGGTCTTTTTGTTGAATGAATAGGCAAATGGTAGTTTTTATTTAAAGAGAGCTCACAGTTCCCTCTCTCCTAGGTGTCCAGGACTACACCAGTTACAAGGAAAAGCCCTGTGCTGTGTTTCCAGCTTAGACCATGCAAGTCTGAGCAATGCAATGTAAACCACACTGTGAGTGTGGGCAGCAGCCACAGCTGCAGTGAGGGGTGAGGGGAATGGGGATCTCCACTGTTTTTTAGGTAATGGCAGGAGAGGCTGCCCAGAGAATTTATAGATTTTTCAAAAGAGCATCTCAACATCATCCCTTCAAACCTCCTGGTACTGCGAAGGGAAATCCACACTTCACACATACTATGCCTATTAAATTTATGGCCTCAGAAATCATCATTAAGATGCAGAGGGAAGACATCAGTCAAATGAGTTTCATGTCACTGATTACGACCAGGACTACCAAAATCTTGTTTTTAGAATTGTGTTCTAAATTGTTCGACGGACTTGGGGTTGTAATCATCTCCTGAAGGTTTTTTCATACTTGGCACACATCAACAATCCAGTCACACACTGGATGCCTTTGAATACCATTAGCATAAAATGTTTACCTAACTAACTTTCCAGTTTTTAAATGAACATCTCAACAAGTCTATGAGTTTAATTAGTCCATGAGTTCAATACAGTCCATGTTTAATTTTTGCTGCCACAGGACAGCCTGATGAGAAAAATGAATGATGGGTTAAACATTAAACAAATGACAAAATGAAAAGCCAGCACCACAGGCTGGGATAGACGACATGAACAGGAAAAAAGAGATGCCTGCACAGTGTTGAGACATTTCCCTTTTTGGGCACCTGAGCAAATGCAACACATTCTGACTACTTTGGTTCAAAAGTTCTTTCCTGGATGGGTCCTGCAGCAGCTCTATTTGGTCCAGAATATAACTGCTCAGATGGTGTTGCATGAACCAGCTGGAGGAGTGGGAATGCGCAGTGTGCTTCAGGAGCAAAAGCTATTTCCAGGACAATCTGCTTTGCTGGGGCTATGCCGGCCAACTTGCAAACACTCTGGAGCAGCATCACTGTGTGGCCAGCATTTCACATAGTCCTATGGGAGTGCAATAAGACTCCAACTGTTGATAATCGCCAAAATTTCCAATCTGCTTTTAAAGTCAAGTTAGTTCACTAAGCAGACAGCTGTGTCCCCCTGGAGTGTTTGTTTTGGGGGAGTGTTAGAGAGAAACCTGGAAGGTACCAGATCGTGGAGGTAAGAGGGGACCTGCCAGACCTTCAGAGTTGATGGGACGCTCAAGGCACAGGGCGCAGCAAGGCAGCAAGTACGTCCTACGAAAAAGCCTGATACAGGTTTTTATGTCTCTCCACCCCTACCTTCAAGGCCATTCCAGGGACCACCCCCAAAGTATTCTACCCTTATCTGAATTCTCCAAGAATTCTGTAAGAGGCAATTCTCTAAGAAGCTTGTTCTCCTCAAACAAAATTTTTCAGAAGGTGGATTTTTATAAACGTGTTTCATCTTTCATGACTTTGAAGAGTCATCTTAAGAACCACCTCTAATAATGCTGCATGACAGAATATGACCCAAGAAGTATAAGGTTTAGGTGGGGACACTTAATTACAAACCAGTATTACGGAATTCATAAGACAAACATCTCTTCTCAGATGTAGGACAGGTTTGAACTTGTAAAGCCGGGTCCCAAAACAGCTTGTTTCCACCCCACCAGCCCTGCACTCCCGGGGCCGACGCTGGGCATCCCTAGCCCCGTGTGTGAGGGGGCAGGGTCTGGGGCTTTGCGGGGCGCTGGGCTAGCTGCCGGGGGCCCGTTCTGCTCCTGCTGGAGGAGGTGCCAAAGGATGGAGGTAACTAATAAAAATAACCCCTTTAATTCCTCTAAGGTCATCAATTAATAAAGAACAACAGTCTCTTCTCTGTGCCTGCAGGCGGCTCCCTCTGGGAGAGGGCCGTGCACGGGTACCGGGCCTGTAGTAAGAGAGCGGCAATGTCCAGAGAAAGGAATGTGCCCTGGCAACCCTGAGCCCTCCGGGTCCAGCTCCGGGAAGCCTCCCTACCGGCTGAGCACCCGCTCTCGCCGGCCCTTGCGAGGGCGCCGCGCCAGGCACCCTGGTTCTCGGCCGAGCGCACGTTCCGACCGCGAACGGCCGGCACTGCCAGGAGGCCTGGGCCACCGCCCTCCTCCGGACCAGGCCTGGCCAGCGCCCCGCTCCCCATTTGCCCCTCGCCACGCGCCCCCGAGGGAGGGCCGCCCGGCGCCCCGGGGCGGGCGCGTGGGGCCCGCGCTCGCCTCTGCAGCCGGAGCAGCGTCAGGGCAGAGGCGGGGTGGGGCGCGGTTAAAAGGCGCCGCAGGTGGCAGCCCGGCCTGCACCCGAGGCCGGCGGGAGCGACGACCGCAGACTCGCGACAGCGCCCGAGAGCCGGGGCGCCGGCCCGCCCTGCCCGCCCGGCTGCAGCGGAGGACGCCCTCCCCCCACCCGCACCCGGCCCGCGCCCCCGGGGGAGCAGGTAAGCGCGCGGCGCCGTCACGATCTTCGCGCGCAGGAACTCGGCCCGGAGCCTCGCTCGCCCTCGTCGCCCGGCGGGCCCCCGCCCCAGCGGGCCGCGCGGCCGGTGGCCGGGCGTCTGCGCGCGGTGTCCGGTGCAGCCGCACCCGCCGGATCCACATCCTCCCGCCGCGGGGCCTCCGCAGCCCGCGGCGCGGCTCCTCGCGGGCGCACCGGCCCCTGCAAGCGTGCCGCACCGAGCACCGCAGTGCCGAGCCGACCTGCTCCCCTTGACCCCCCTGCCCCCACCTCCTTTGCTGCATTTTGGATTTTCTTGGCTTCTATGGGGCGCTGCAGAAGTCCCGCTTGGATCTGGGGGAGAGGGAAGCCAGTTCGACGACGAGTGTTTCAGTTCGGCCAAACCCTGGGACTCGAGCTGGTCCATGAGTCCCGGGTAGAACTGATAGGGTGGCTACGTGACGTGCGCCCCAGCAGCGTGTGAAACGCAGGTAATAATGGTACAATACTGGACAACAGCAATAAAGTGTCACTGGTGTCACATCTCAGCTAAAAGAGTGAGGCACCAGAAGGAGGCCAGCCTCCCGTGTCACCTGCCATCGCTGTGTCCTTGACTGGGCTGGCCTCCCTTCCTGGAGAGCAGGACGCCTGCAGACGCCTAGGGAGCTGGAGACTTCAGTGTCCCCTGGGTGAAATCCTGTCAGTTTAGTGCCTGACTGAATTTAACCACCGTTGTCCTTTTGCCTCAGTGGAATTCATGCCACAGAAGTATTTTCCTGCCCCAGTTCTAGTAGCAGCTAATCAGTGTTCTAGAAGAAAATGTCCTGTGCCACTGCAGTCTCCTTAGAATTGCAGGACACTGCTCAAAACTGCTCCTGTGGAGAGCTTTGTCTGGTGTTTGGATCAGGCTGTGTCTTTGGGGGTGCTGCTTGCCCTGCCAAGGAGGGGAGAAGGGGCTTCTGAAGAGAGAACAAGACAATCCAGCCCTGACACACTGGGGGGTGCAGGAGTGCGCTCCCCACTGCCATCACCCAAGGGACCAGCACGGAGAAGTCACTGACCAGTCCAGCTACTTTACCAGTGTCTTTATTTAAAACAAATTCTGCCACACATAATGGTGGCTTCATTCTCTTTTCCTTACTTTTTCTTTTCTTAATTACAAGAGCTTTAAGGACAAGAAGGACAAATGGTCTGCCTCAACTATTTCAATAAGGGGAAAGGACAATTCTAACTTGCAACATCCTTACCACGCCATTGAATCTCTGATTCAATCTGTATATTTCAGCAGCTGTGAGTAGTTTGTATGCCCTGATTAAAATGTTAAGTAGAATAAAACTGTGGGAAAATCATTTTTGACTCAAGCTTCTTGTCCATGAGGGCATAATCCTTACAATGACCACATTATCCCAAGTTACAGTTTCTGTTTTACTTGTTTGATCCATGAGTATGGATGACTCTTCAGACCTCCTTTTCCATTTTCATCCCCAGGATCATTTAACTTGAGTTGGACTTAAATGTTTGGAACGAACACAGGTTTGCTTGATGAACGGAGACTGCTTAATGGAAATTATTTATTTAACTCTGAATTCTTCAGTGGATTAAGAAATATATGTAATTCTATGAATTGTCCATTTTTACATCTAGACTCCAAGGACAAAAAAAAATTTCATTTTTGCTGAGTTCACTTTGAGGATGTATATAAATCCTAAATCCCTTTTATCACTAGTCATTACTTTGAAAAGACAGTTGATGAAGTATTGAGTCATTACATTTAAAAATCAGCTATCGGGTTGTCCCTTGAATGACCTGAGACTTCTAGAGACAAAAGGCACAGATTCTTGTTGATTAAGGAGACTTTGGGATTTTTCCATCGACTATGGCTCCTAGGGGTTGGTGAGCATATCCAGTTTCTCAAGCTCCCTCTGCTTCTTTCTCTTTAATGCTCAGGGAGTGGGCCTGAGGTTTGGGATTAAGTATTATTATTACTTTGATAGGGTAAAGCATCTACACTAAAGATTCCATTTTGATTGTCTCATGTATTCAATGTATGGAGCATCAGGAAACTGGAAGCATCCAGACTCCCCTCCTAACCCTCCTAACCCTAATCCTGTTCCCATCTGGGGATGAAGGAAACTTCCCACAAAGGTCAGGCAGTGCACATGTTGTGAGGAGCTAAAGGAATATGTCCACATCTACTATTTTTCCCTCAACAGGTAACATCCTCGCTGATATCCAGAAACTGCAGGGATTTATATCCACATCATTACTGTGCAACTTTGGCTTCTAGGCAGTCACATGGTGTGGAAGAAGCAAGCCTGAGGCCCCAGGAGAGGGGACCTTTGCCCTAGTTCTTTCCCGCCAATAGGCTGTGAGTCCTGGGAAGTGAGGCTTGGGTGTGCTTGTTTTGTTTTGATGTTGTTGTCTTCTATCAATGAAAACTCCTCAACTGTCCAAAGCTGATGTGGAAATTGTGAGGAATGTGTTCTGTGTTCTCAGGTCTACCAAATATTTGCTGAATGACTTCCAAAGGATGGCCAAAGAGTAATGGAACTATCCAGAAAGATACTTTCCACCTCTTGGTATATACTGAGGGGTAACACTATAACTTTTAGGGCTTTAGTTTTGGTTCTATCATCAGTGAAACTAAAATGGCATTGTTAAGCAAACCAGTTATGATTAAATTCTTAAATAAGAAGCTTTAAAACCATCAAGAAATTGTATTACTTAAGTAGTATACTAATAGACTTAAATTACTTGAATTGTCAAAGGGAAGAACAGTCTATCTTGATAATACTGTGTGTATCATCAGAAGTAAGATCAATGGCTTACTTATCTTTGGAGCTAAGTATTTTGGACTAAATCTTTAGTATCAGAATGTGACAAAGTTATTCATTATCATTAGGTATACCACACAATCTAAAACTTAAACCTAAGTTTAAGTGTGACCACATTTCTCTATGTTGAAGACTAGCAAAGCTGGGCGAATCTATTCTTTCCTCAAAAAGAGAGCCAGAGAGGCGCCAGTTAAAATAAACCTCTCCGGTTTACAAAAGAAAGAGTTAATACTTTACTGTTATTGAAGAAGCTCCTCCCATTGGCTGCAGCCTGCCTGAAGCGTGAACAGAAAGAGGTGTTTTGTTCACTAATCGCAGAGGGTTCCAAAGGACCCACTTGTTTTGGAAAGTAATTTTCAAAGAGTACTCGGCCTTCAAATCTCCTGTCACCAAAAAGTGTGTGAAAATATTCCCCCAGGGTTATGTTTGCACAGGGCGAGGCTGAGCAATGTGCTGCCCCCAGCCAGGACAGACTTCAGCCCACTGCAGGGTCAGGTCAGGAGGAGCAAGCCAGTCCAAACATCCTCCTTGCACACCTGCTGAGCCCTCTGCCCTCAGCCAGCTCCTTCCTGCTCTTGGCTCCCTGGCTTCCAGAGGAAGTTCCCAGGGGGCGGACCAGGTCACCAGTGACTGCAGCAATGTCAGGAAGTTTGTGGTGGTCCCTACCCCTGCCCGGTCTCCTGACACTTGCCAGGAGGCCTGCTCCCTGCATTTCAAACACACAGCGTCAGTGGTAAGACCCTCCGGAATGACGTGGGCTGAACAAAGAATCAAAAGGGGAGCTTTCGCTGCAGGAAACCAGTTCACACTCACTGGCCACCCTTCCTGCAGCTCACCTAGGCCACAGGAGTGATGGCCACTGCAGAGCACAGCACTTCCTCTCCCACCACTTCTCTGATAAAGAACAAGGCCTTTGTTGCTTTGAGGAAGATACTGCAAATCAGGTGATTTGCTTTTGGCCTGGTTAATTGTCTTACATGATCAGCAGGCTAGGCACACTTGTACTGGGGTTTAATTTCTCGTTTTTGTTAGTGATCTGGGCATCTCATTCTTTTTTTTTTCTTTAAAGGCACAAGTAAATTGCTGATTTTTAGTAGAAGTCAATAAGTATTGTTATAAAACAGATTATTTTTTGTTCATCTTTGCTACTTTGATAAAACATCTTCAGAGCGTATAGTTTGGGGATGCAGAACAGTTAAAAGAAATAAGTAAAAACTACTACCTTCAAAATTGTCCCTGTTTTTTTAAGAAGGAGAAGCCCAAAGGCTCAGAAAGCCAGGATCCTGCTTCTAGAAAGCTGGGGCCATATTTTTGCTGGGATGTTCTGACCAACCTCTCCTGGGCTTCATACTTTCCATATTCATTCAGGCCAAGTTTCCTTTGGCACTTTAGTAGGTCTGCTTCCTAGGAGGGCAGGTACTAGGTGACCACAGGCGGGCGGGCCATTGTTCCGGCAGGCTAAAGAGAGAGCTTTGACAAAAGTCTTCTACCTAGAGGGGAGCTTAAATCCTCCACACTTTGGAGAGTTTGAGAAAATATAAACTTTTATTTGGTTAATCATAAACTTGCTGATCTGGCACCTAGTTAACCCAATTTTAATCGGAGGTGTTTATTGGTTAATTAGATATCTACATTTTTTAAACAAACAAGACTGCTGATAAACAAACACAAATGAGCACCCGTAGGTGAACAGCTGCTATGTTTCTACTTCCCCACTGATCACATCATGAAATGCTTTCAGGACAGAACAATGACAATTAGGAAACTTTATGATAATCACTTTCATCAGGGACTAAAAATTAATTTTAAAATTCATATTATCTAAAATGAGCTTTTAAAATCAGATACATTTGCTGTGGACATTGAAAAATCTCTTCAGGTCATGGGAGAAATGGTATATGAAAGGGAGGATTTAATAAACACATTTTAATTGTGGAACCTTGAGACCACTGTTCCTGCATGAGACCCCTCTGCGTCACACAGTCTTTGATTAAATTTTTCAAGGATGAGAAACTATAAATTTAAAGAGTTTGTGTTAAAAGAGTTGTGCCTATTTGGTTTTCTCACCTTAGTTTAAAAAAGCAAAAACCTAGCTTTCTGTAAATTCCTCCATTGGATCCAAACCTTAGTCTTAAATGGACACGAGGATCCAATCCTGCATGAATACTGAGATGGCTCTGCCTTGTAGTTGTCCCAGCTAGCATCCCATCTCCCTCCATGCCCTCCTGTGAGAGTCCTTCCAGACTCTACTCCCCGGTGCCACTCCTGCAGACATCCTCCAGCTTCCAGAGTCTTTCTTAGAAAGAGAAGTGAACCCTTCAGATGTGGACTGCCTAGGAGCCAGGTGCCCATATAGCCAAAGCTTCAGTGTCTTTTTAGCAGCCTCGTTTCAGGGCATGAATGTCTTGCTTATAAGGATATTCCTTAAGTAAAATGTTAGGACATGGTTACTAAATGAACCATGAAAATACCTCTAACTTGCTGATGATATGAGAGGCATCTATAAATATCACTGATGCTAAAAGGGCTGTCCCATTACCATCGGCATTGGTTACTTTTAGCAAATGAATAGCAACTCTTTCCTGATTCTGTTTTAGAATTTTTCTGGGCGCTCAACTGAGAATTCCCTTGTCCATATAGATAAACTATTTCTTATTTTGAAAATCTAGGTATTTGTCCTACAGATGGGGGCCCTTTTCTCTGAATATTAAAACTCTGATCCCATTTGTAAATATTTCAGTACTGTACCATGTAGTTCTCAGCTGTGGACAAGCACTCTTTCTCAGAAAGTAGACACTAGTCCGCACCTCTCTTATACTCTGTTTTTAGAAATAATTTTTAAGTAATTTCTCTTCAATAAAGTAGAAGTAAAATAAGAGTCAATTAAAATTATGCCATCCACTCCAGGCATTATGCCAACTCCTTTTTTCCCTCAAATATTCTATTTTTCTTTCTTTTTCCATGTTCTTTAAATTTAAGCACCCACCCACCCTTTTTTTTTGTAAGGTTTGCCTCATTTGGTGTTTACACTTCCGGACATTGTCCGTAGAGTGTGGGCCCCTCCATCTCTGTGTGGATCCAAGCTGTCTTCCACCTTCCTGTTGCTTTGAACCCTGAGAGCCTGGGCATTACGAGCAGCCCTGCCTTCCTTGGCCGAGGCCCTCAGACCTTAGGAGCCTCTGCCACCACTTTTCTTCAACTATGGAATTCTACCTCTCTTTTCTTTTTCATTTAAAAATTAATATGCTCCCTGAATTTCTAGGCAAAATTAAAACTAGAATTTGAGATTTTCCATTTGTGCCACAATGTAAGCTTTTAGCTCAATTTTTGTTTGGATTTAAGAATCTAAATGCTCTTATATTCTGTTTTTAAACTTTTCAGACTCCACGGTTGCATTGAACAACTTTTAAGGTCTATGAACACTTTGAAGTCCTTTACTGTTTTCTGGCCAGTGAAGTTGGAATAGGCCAGTATGCACCAAATCCTTCAGTTTGACCCAAAAATACGTTTCAGACTCCTTAACGCCAGCTCCACCGCCTTTTGCTACCATGCCTGCCTCAAGGGCCTAGAAACCCCAAGTAGTCTTGAGGGTGCTGGTTTATTTGTTAAATGCTGTTATTTGACTCCTAATGGATTATTCAAAAGGAAAATATACCAAATCTGTGAAATTCCATGATCACTTTAATTCTGTGGTCACCTTAATTTTCCTTAATTATCCAGCAAATTTCATACTGAAGTGCAACCACTTTGCCCCTCCCGCTTTTTTCTCATTGAGATGTTGCATGCTCCCAGTTTGCATAGGTGTGCTCAAACGCCTCTGCCAGTTCCGAGGGGTGGGACACATCTCCATCTGGAAGCTTCCCCAAGTCTGCTCGGCAGCCCCACTGGGAGCTGCGCTGTGCCTTGGGGCTCAGCGGTGAAGGAGCTAACACCTGTATATAGCAGACCCCCCATAAATGCAGGTGGAAGTCTTGGTGATTGTTCTGTATTTGGCTTTGACAGCGTGGTGAAAGGCAAAGAGGAGGTGGTTTCCTATACTGGCCTCTGTCGTTTTGGCAAGAGGAAAAGGCAGGGAAAGGACTCCCAGTGTGGAGATGGCTGGCCGTGCCGTGTGCGTCCCCCACCCGGTGTGCCTTCCCCTCCCCTGCCAGCCCTGGTGGAGGAGGGGCCCACGCAAAAGTGTAAGATGGACTGTGGCACTGACTCCTTAGGGCTCACGTTGTCCTGAGAAAAATGTGGTGTCCAAAAGCCGAATCAATGTCAAAGATGAATTTCTCGGAAAGCCAAGTAAAATGGGAGTCTGCCTTTTATAATACAGGACCGGCTGACTTTATCAAAGTCTACAAAAGGCCGTGCTTCTGGGGCACGCATCTAACACCCCTAGAGGGGCAGAGGCCGGCTACACTCGCCTGAGTGCTCCGAAGAGCAGCGAACAGTGCTGAGGAGGCGGACCTGCGGGCGGTGGGGCGTCCCGGCGGCGGGGTGCTTGGCCTGCGGAGATAGGCCTGGCCCTGAGCGCTCTGCACCCAAGAGCCGGGAGGGAAGCCTCTCCCAGGTAAACTGACAATGGGCTTCGGTGACTCCCGCCCCTTCTAAAAGTTGTGAAAACGTGTGTGTGTTTTCTGAAGAGAAGGTCTTTTACTTTCAGAAGATTCTCAAAGGGTTCATAATTTCGTTGTTTTTTTTTTTTTTAAGGAAAGTGCTGACCAATTCTTCAGTCTTCTGTGGCAGTGTAGGGTAAGAAGGCATCCATTTCATTGTAGCAAACGTCTCTGTAGCAGTGAAGAAGCCCTCTTCTCTCAGGACTTTAAGTCTGTGCACTAATGGGGTGCACAGCTGCTACTTGCCTTACCCTTGATGTGAATGGTTTCTACTGGGGAGGAAATCGGCCTCTTCAACACTGGCCCTAGTTACAATGGAGAACAAGTGGGCACTTTCTGTAAAAGCTTGTGATTCTCTTTTGGAAGAGATCTTGGAGTACTTTATGACATTAGGCTCCTAAGAACACACAATCACAGCAATTCATGTTATCCAAGCTAGAAATTACAAATATATTATACAAAGTAAACTAGTAAGTATTTGATTTCTTTGTTTCCTTAGTGTTCTGAGTATATCAAATTTCATCATTCCACTTTAAGGATTTTTTTTCTTCGTTAAGCCATTTAATGAATAAAATCTACAGTGGATCCTCTGTGGTCCCTCGGGCAAATTGAAACTGGTGTGATGAAACTGGTGTGATATGAATTTCCATAATGATTAAAAGGGAACTTGGACATGAAATTGTTTACCTGAGTTCCTGGATTACTGTAAAACAGCAACCTAATACATAATCTGAATTCAGTTGAATCAAGATGATCTGAAACCTACCAACAGTTATTTCTAGTTCAAAAATGTTAGAAAGTTTTTAAGAATAGGCATTCCTTATCAGAAAACCTCCTACTAGCAAACTAGGGCATTAAAGTGATAAAATATCACAGCATACGCTAAGAGAAATTTGCTTCAGTCTGTGATATAACTAAACTTTTATAAAATCAAAGGCACTTTCCTTTAGTTAACCTTTGCTAATGTCTGTTCAGGAATAAACCATCACCATGGACTGGGGCACCCTGCACACTTTCATCGGGGGTGTCAACAAACACTCCACCAGCATCGGGAAGGTGTGGCTCACCGTCATCTTCATCTTCCGTGTCATGGTCCTTGTCGTGGCTGCTCAGGAAGTGTGGGGGGATGAGCAGGAAGATTTTGTCTGCAACACGCTACAGCCGGGCTGCAAAAACGTGTGCTATGACCACTTCTTCCCTGTGTCCCACATCCGGCTCTGGGCCCTGCAGCTCATCTTTGTCTCCACCCCAGCCCTGCTGGTAGCCATGCATGTTGCCTACTACAGACAGGAGGCAGCCCGCAAGTTCAGGCGGGGGGAAAAGAGGAACGAATTCAAAGACTTAGAAGACATTAAAAAGCAGAAAGTTCGGATAGAGGGGTCCTTGTGGTGGACCTACACCAGCAGCATTTTTTTCCGCATCATCTTTGAAGCGTCCTTTATGTACGTGTTTTACTTCCTTTACAGTGGGTACCACCTGCCCTGGGTGTTGAAATGTGGGATTGAACCTTGCCCCAATCTTGTTGACTGCTTTATTTCTAGACCTACTGAGAAAACCGTGTTTACCGTTTTCATGATTTCTGCATCTGTGATTTGCATGCTCCTCAATGTGGCCGAGTTGTGTTACCTGCTGCTGAAAGTATGTTTTAGGAGATCAAAAAGAGCGCAGATGCAAAGAAATCACCCCAATCATGCCCTAAAGGAGAGTAAGCAAAATGAAATGAATGAGCTGATTTCAGATAGTGGTCAAGACGCAATCACAGGGTTCCCAAGTTAAACATTTCAAAGTACAACGTAGCAGGCTCCTATCAAAACTGGTGTCTCCTCCAGAAGGCAGTGCCAAGCTAGCAATCCCCTCCCCAGGATGAAGACTTTGTCTTTATAATGGCTTTCATAATACTTAGGTTCTGGGGTTAATTTTCTGCAGACTACTTGCACCATTAATATGCAACATAATAAATGGAGTCCATCGCTCACAAGTAAGACAGGATGGCATCTGTGACCTGAAGTAACTTTAGCATGTTTGTTTTAAGTGGACTCTCTGACATAGTGGGAATTTCCTGAAAATTTAAGTGTGTAACTATTGTTGATAAAGAACATTTATCTAGAAACTAATACTTTGATTAGTAAAAGATATTTTTATAGGATTGAATTTTTAGTTCTGACTTTGAATTTATATAGAGTATTTTTATAATGACTGGTCTTCCTTACCTGGAAAAATTATACCTTAAGGAGCTGTCCCGAACTTACAAAGGACCTAGCTTGTAAATATTGTTTTGCATTGTCTGTTGATAAACTTATGAACTATCATGATACTCTTAAGGTGGAAAGTGTTGATTGTACAATATATATTTACTGCTTTCTGAATGTAGACAGAGCTGTGTGAAAGGGAAGTGTCTTTTAACCAGCCTATTTGCCATCATTGTAAACAGCTGATACAAGAATGTGCTCACCTCAATAAAGATTAGCCCCATGCTAAAGCCTTCATGTGCAGGGTGGTTTCTGTCCATCTCTCCGCCTCACTGTCCCCCCACAGCTGTGCAGTAATTGGCTGCGGTGCCTTTGCCGGGTATCTGTTGTTGTGTGGTCGGAGTGCCAGGGAGTTCCATGGGGACTCTTGCATCCTCCTGCCAAATGAGCAGAGGCTGGTTACAGGCCCAGCAGTCCTCAGCCTGGAGAGCAGTTGGCTACTTTAGGACACAAAAAACGGCCTCTGGGGCAGTTCAGCCTCGATAGAGAGGAAGCTGGGGAAGTTAGCAGCAGCTCTCAGGCAAAGCTTTCCTCAAGGACTCATGCCTGGGGTCCTTCAGCACGTGGTGACAGAGAATAGTACCCCAGCTGCTCACCCCATGGGTGAGGAAACCTTTCACCCCGGGGGTTTCCGGAGTGAGCACAGATGTTTTTCATGTGGATGTCGGTGCATCACTCACAGGCTGGTCACTCCTGAGTCACACCACACACATGAGTGCGTGACCTCTGTGTTGAGGAATGGTTTGAATGGTATACCATGTGTGAGGAAGCCTACTGAATAATGAATATACATGAGCCCTTGACGTGGCGCCGTGATTCCAGAACCTTTCCAGAAAAATAAAACAGTAATTTCCATTTTTTTCAGAGACCATATCAAATTCAAGACATACTATTTCACCCATAAATATTTCAGTATCTGTAAAAGCCAAAAACTAACCTTTTAAAACAAAACTACAATTCTACCATCACACTGAAAAAAATCTCGATAGCGCTAATAATTCCCGATTGTCCTGTAATGTTCATTCTTTTTAAGAAGCTGTTCGAATAGGGATTATGAAGGAAGGGAGAAATATCAGGGGCAGATAAAACTGCCACGGTAGCACTCCCAGTCTGTGCAGAAGAGGGGCTCCTTCTCACTGCAGCCTGGGGACTCCGGGCCCCCTCCAAAGCCCTGCCTGGCGGTCCCCTCCTTTCCCTGCTGTTTCCTGTCTTGTCCTCTTCTCTGGTGGCTTTCTGCTCCTTAACCTCTCTGACACCCTTTCCCTCTGGACTGTGTCCCTGTGCCAGCACATCAGGGTGTGGAGTGAAGGGCCACGCTCGCTGCCAGCACGCTCCTCCCCCTGCCTCTCAGTGCCAGACCTGGACCCGCCCTCTCCGCTGGGCCCAGCCCTGATCGACACCAGTGACTTCCAGAGCACCAAATCGCTTGGCTTCTTCCCTTTTTATCATCTTCAAACTCTCCTGGGGGCTCTTCCTGCATTCCAGGACAACTGCCCCCCCCTGACCTTAGGTCTCCAGCTTCGGTGGCTCCTTGGTCTCCTGCACTGGCCTCTTTCCCTTTGGCCTTTCCTCTCCTCATCCTTGGCAAACTCGTCTGTCTGTATAATTATCCTATGCAATATTATCACATTTTACAGATGAGGACACTGAGGCTCAGAGAAGTTAAATAACTTGCTCAAGGTCACACAGCTAATAGGCAGCAGAGCCAGGATTGCAACCAGCTCTGACTCTATAAAGACAGTGGCTTAACTACCATGTTGCCCCGACTCCCACAATTCCATGCATGACAATCACACTCAGTACACTGTTCAGGAACCTGTGCACCTCTCTCCCAGCCCAAGGATTATGCACTCCTGCCTGCTGCCTTTCCACTCTTACCTGCTTGTCCCTGACTCTGGGTCTCTCTGAAGCAAAACCCAGACATGTCATTTCATCTGAGTATTTCAATATGGGTCTTTTAACAGACAAAACTTTAAAGACAAAACATAATGGCACCATCACACTAAAAAATCCAGTCAGTGTTCATAATTCCCTAAGTGTCCTGTAAATATTCCTTTCCTTTTTAAAATTAAACTTGTTAATTTGAGATGATTGTGGATTCACATGTAGGTGTAAGGAATAACACAGAGGTCCCCTGTGCTCTTTGTGGTCCCCCACCCCAATGGTGAAGAGTTCAGCCAGGATATTCACATTGACACCATCAAGATACAGCCCGTTTGCACTGGCACAGGACCCCTCATGTTGCCCTTTTATAGCCACTCCCCCTTTCCTCCTCTTCTGTCCCCAACCCACCACATCCCTCCTTAACTCCTAGCAACCACTAATCTGCCTACAGTCTCTATAATTTTGTCATTTCAAGGCTATTATTATGAAAGCAATCATATAGTATGCAATCTTTTGAGATTGGATCTTTTCCTTTAACATAATTCTCTGAAGATTCATCCAGTCGTTGTGTGCACCAATTGTTTGTTCCTTTTTATTGCTGAGTAAATAGCTCCTGGCACAGATGCACCACATTTGTTCAACCATTCACCCACTGAAGGACATCTGGGCTGTTTCCAGTTTCGGGCTTAAATATATGAAATAAATACATGAAATATATGAACATTGATGTACAGATTTTTCTGTACATCTTCATTTCTGTGAACACATCTTCATTTCTCTGATAAATATTCAGGAGTCCAATTACTGAGTGTATAGTAGTTGCATATTTCATTTTTTAAGAAACTGCCAAATGGTTTTCCAGCATATCTTTACCATTACGCACTCCCACTTAGCAATGTCTAAGCGATCCAATTTTTCCTCATCCTTGTCAGCATTTGGTGGTGTTGCCATTTTTTATTTTAGCCATTCTGATAGATGTGTTTAATTTGTATTTACTGAATGGCTAATGAAGTTAACATCTCTTTGTGTGCTTTTTTGCCATTTGTAAATCCTCTTTATGTCTTTTTTGCCCATGGATTGTGTTTTTCTACTATTGAATTCTGAGAGTTCTTTATATATGCTAGATACTAGTCCTTTGACAGATAGGTGGTTTGTAAATTTTTTTCACTCTGCATTTTCTTTTCTTTTCATCTTCCCAGTCGGGTTTTTTGCAAAACACTAGTTTTTCATTTTAATGAAGTCCAATTTGTCAGTTTTTTTCTTTTATGTATAGCATTTTTGGTGTCAAGTCTACAAAGTATTTGCTTAGCCTTAGGTCTCAAAAATTTTCCTCTATTTTTTCTCTAAAAGCTGTATAGTTTTACACTTATATTTGTGGTCCATTTGTGTTAATTTTTACATAAGGTCTGAGCCTTAAACTGATGCCCATTTTTTGCCTGCAGAGATCCAGTCTCTCCAGCACCCTTTGATGAAAATGCTATCTTTCCTCCATTGAATTGCTCTCACACCTTTGTCAAAACACCAGTTGGGCATATTTGTGTAGGGTTGTTTCTGGATTCTCTGTTCTTTTCCATTGATGTGTATGTCTATCCCTCCACAATTACCAAATAGTCTTGATTATTGTACCATATAAGTAATCCTTAAAATCTACTACAGTGATTTTTCCCACTTTATTACTCATTTTCCAATTGTTCCTTTGCCTTTCCATATAAATTTCAGAATAATTTTATCTATATCTACAAAAAATCTTGCTGTTTTTGATAGAAATGTCATTAACACCTGTATATCAATTAGGGAGAACAGGCATTTTTACAATGTTAAATCCTCTTATCCATTTATACAGTATTTTTCTCTTTTTATTTGTACCTTTTTTTATTTCTTCATCAGCATTGTGTTATTTTCAGCATACAACTAATGTAAATGTTTTGTTAGATTTACTTCTAAGTATTCCACCTTCTTCAAGTGACTGTAATTAGTATTGTATTTTAATTTCATTGTCTACATGTTCATTGCTGGTATATAGAAATAAATGTTATTTTTGTTTGTATCCTGTGATCTTGCTTTGATTTTTATCTTAATATTTTATTAAAATTTTTACATCTGTATTCATGAGGGTGTACTGGTTCTTTCTTTGTATTGTCTTTGTCTGGTTTTGGTGTCAGAATAATACTAGCATCACAAAATGAGTTGGGAAGTGTTCTTCTGTTTTCTAGAAGAGATCATACAAAATAGGTGGGAACCCTTATTTAAATGTTTGGTAGAATTCCCCAGTGAAACTATCTGGTTCTGAACATTTCCTGAGGTTTTTGTTTTGTCTTACAAATTCAATTTTCTTAATAGCTATAGGACTACTCAAATTATCCATTTCTTATTGGGCGAGTTGTGGTGGTTTGTGTTTTTTGAGGAAGAGATCTATTTCATCTAAGGTGTGAAATGTATAAGTATAGGATTATTCATATTATTCCCTTATTAACCTTCTGACATCTGCATGGTCTATAGTGACAGACCCTGTTTGAGTCCTAATATTGGTCATTTGTGTCTCTTCTCTCTTTTTTTNAAGATGTTGAGGTTTGTTTTATGGCCAGCGTATCAAGCATGTCTTTAGTCTGATGTTTTATACCTGTGGCCTTACTGAGCCTGGGGAGACTGCCCCCACCATGGCTAGCTGATTCCTAGAGATGGAAAGCATCTCCCCTGACAGTATACTTTTCCTACACAAAGAAACCATTCCAACACCCACACTGTCGACCACACTCTGCATCAGGCTCTCATAGGGTGCTCACATTCTGCGCCACCATCCCCCTGCCCTGATCACCCCAGGGCCAGACACCAGACAGCTTGCTGAAATTTGTCGAAGTAGCCAATCTAAGCCTGTTTACCCTACCTGGCCTGGCCTTGCCTTTCCAAGAGAAACAACAATAAAGAGCGTTGCCCATGCTTCTCCCATACTCCTGTCTCCTGACTGACCCTGGTGCTTCCCCCATGTAGTCCTGCATGGCCTGCTGTGCCTCCTGTATCTGTATCTAGGGAACTGTGTGTAAACACTTTTTTCATGACTTCATTTCCATGTCTGTGTGTCTTACTTTACTTATTAAAACAAATCCTGGGTACATTTTAAAATAGTGCAGAATATCATCTATCTGGGCATTTGTTCCATGGGCACTTGAAAAGAATGCCTATTCTGTTGTTGAGTGAAATATTCTATAAATATCAATTAGAGCTTGTCAGTTGATGGTGTTGTTGAATTTGTCTATACCCTTGCTGATTTTCTGCATAGTTGTTCTATCAGTTGTTGAGAGAGAGGTGTTGGTCACCAACCTAAATTGTGGATTTGTCTATTTCTCCTTCCAGCTCTATCCATATTTGCACCACATATTATTCCGTTCTGTTGTTTAGTGCATACACATTTATGATTGCTATATCTTCTTAGTGAATTGATATTTTTATCATTATATGATGTCCCTCTCTGTCTCTGGTGATTTTGCTTTGCTCCAAAGTCTACTTTATCTGATATTAATATAGCCATAACTGTTTTCCTCTGATTAATGTTTGTGTGATATATATATATTTTTCCATCCTTTTACTTTCAACATGCCTATGCCATTATATTTGAAGTGAATTCCTTGTAGACAGCATACTGTTGGGGCATGTCTAATAATCCATTCTGTCAATGTGTCTTTTAATTGTTTTTTTAAGACCACTTACATCTACTGTAATTGTTGATAGTTTAATGCTTAACTATTTTATTTTTTGTGTTCTGTTTGTTATATCTATTTTTTATTTGTTTTGTTTTCCTGCTTTCCTGCAATTTGCTAAAATATTTTTTAGAATTCTATTTTATATTTACCTAGGGTTTTTGTGTGTATTTTTGTATAACTGTTTAACTGCTTGCTCTAGATATTACATTATATATGCATAACTTATCACAGTCTACTGATACTGTCATTTTACCACTTTGAGTGAAATATAGAAAACTTATCTCCATTTCTATTTCTTTACCCTTCTCCATTATATCCTCTACATACATTTAGAGCCACATCAGACTGTTAACAATTTTTGTTTCAACTATCACACATAATTTAAAAGACTCAAGAGAAGGATTGTTCTAAAGTTCCTTTTTTTTACCATTTCCTTTCTGTATAGAGAACTTTCTTTAGCCATTCTTCTATGATAGGTCTCTTGGTGACAAATTTTCTCCATGTTCTTTCTTCAGAGAGTGTCTTGATTTCCCCTTCATTCATGAGTATATTTTGCTGGAATTAGAATTTTTGATGGACTTGAAAAATATTATGCCATTCCTTCTGGTGTCTGAAGAAAAATCCCCTATAATTTAGATTGTTTTTCCCTATAGACGAGGTGTTGTTTTTCTCTGGCTACTTTCAAGATTCGGTTCTTTGCCTTTGGTTCTCAGAAATTTAATGCTGATGTATCTTGGCATGATTTCTTCAGGTTGATCCTGCTCAGTGTTCACTTCTAGAAACTGTGGGTTTATGTCTCTTGCTACATTTGGGGAATCCTCAGCCACTGTTTCTTTGAGTGCTTTGAGTCCCGCCCTCGCTCTCCACTCTCTCTGGGACTCCGGTGGACAAAGGGCTTTCATAACAGCAGTACAGGACCTGACACTCTTTCTTTTTCTTTTTTTTAGTCTATTCT